TGGAGAGCAAGAGCTAAAGAGAGAGAGAGAGAGAGAGAGAGAGAGAGAGTGAGTGAGTGAGTGAGTGAGTGAGTGAGAGCGAGGCGGATAGATGTAGCTGGGTACGAAGGAAGATAGAGAGATAGAGGGACCGAAGGGAATTACGAGAGAGGAGCCGTGCGAGTGGGTGAGCATGCGCGCGCATGCGCGAGCGCGAGTACGTGTGCGTGGAACCTTGAATCAAGCAGCCTTTGTCGCGGGACTCCACCGCAGCAGCACCACGAGGCCGACGAAAGTGTACCCGAAGCTTTTTTGCTCCAAGTGCCGCCACTCGCGCGGGCGCGAGCGCGGAGAGCCGCTCTTTTTATTGCTTTTTTTGCTCCTTCGGCTCCTTTTTCTTCCTCTTTCCTTTTCTCTTTACTTTTTGTATTTCTTTTTTTTTTCTTCTACTTCTCCCTCCCTCCCGCCGTCCCTCTTTCTTGTTCTTTCTCCGCTCTTCTCCGTCGTTCCTTTCTTCGAAGGCACAAGCGTAGAGCTCCCGCACGAACCTCCGCAGTTCCTTGCCATCTTTACTTAGATATAACGCCGGAATTAGCGGCAGCACCGCGAGTCCCGCACAGCAAGGCGCGGTCAGGGGGTAGGGGCGGCGGCGGCGGCAACGGCGGCGGCGGCTGGCAGCGTCCAGGGAGCGGGGGAGGAGCGGGTGAGCGAAAGGAGTCGGGCGCGAGGAGGGCAGGCGGGCAGGCAAACGGGCAAACAGGCAAACAGGCAAACAGGCAAACAGGCAGAGGCAGCGAGGCCTAAGAAAGGGCGATTATCACAGTTTTTAATTAGCCGAGCTTCCAGGACCGTTGCATTCGTTCAAAACAAAACGGGAGGAGAAAAAAAATGGAAAGCAGAAGGAAGGAAGGACGGAGAGGAGGAAAGAAAACAAGAGTAAAAGGGCGAATTCTCCGGGGTTTAAAAGAAAGAGAGAAATACGGCTCGGAGGCGTTCCGTTTGTCCTCGCACGGCTGAACACCGCCATTGTCGGGCATCGCTTTCACGTGCATTCCCCGAATGCCAAGAAATTTAAGCGGCAAAGCGGGGCGAAGTTTCAAGCGACTCCCCCGCCCCCGAGCCTATCGATCCACCGATAAAGGGAAAACTTGCAGCTCTCGCGAGGAGCGAAATAGCCGCAGTGTGTCGCACGTTGTGGGCCACCGTGCCCCGGACTTTTCCAAATGATCTCGCGACTTCCGAGAAAGCTACGCTACCCAGAAGCTCGGTCGTCCGCAGGTGACGGCGCTGCCAAATCGGTGTCGTGGGGTGGGATGGTGTGATGGTGGAAGTCGGAAGGGGGGGGGGGGCGGATCGCGCCGTGCCGAGGAATTCCGGTGGAGTTTTCAAGGCACTCGGTATATGGAGTTACCGGGCACTGCCACTGGTTTGCTTCCTTTTGCTCGCACGCGCTAATTCTGTTTTTCGCGATTTTAAACGGGACGGCCCGTAGAATTATTAGCGTTTTATCGTAAGTTTGCGTATCTCAACCGCGGGAAGATCGGCTATCGCGTAGCAAAAATTTTGTGCCTTCGGAGTTCAGGCAAGGTAAAACCGCTGCGGCTCCATAATAATTCAAAGTATAACGAGGCGGGTTACAAAGCTTTGTATTTTACGGGGCGTGATGGTGACGCGGTGTGTTAGGGGGCAGGGGCAGGGAGGTGGAGTGATCGGGGTATAAGGTACGGCTCGAAATAACTGAAACTTAATCGCCTAGTTTTTTTGTTTTTTTTTTCGTTTCTCTCTTTATTATTCATAAAATGTAATCAAGATTAAAGTATTGCCGAATAGGCTTATAATTCGGCGATCGTTATTCCTTTCTCATGGATTTATGCATACTCGTTTCTTTATCGTGAATAATACAATGTTTGTACAGTATGTAATGACGGCCGCTAAATAATGCATAATTTTCCTAGGAAATGCGGAAGGTAATTTGATGTTTTATTAAACGCTGTAAAAATTATCCAACTTAAGCTCGAGCTCAACTAACACGATAATACATATTGATACATATATTTTGTATGTCGCCAGCATGGACAATCGATCTTTAGAAAATTCGTGTCAGGAATTTTTATCTTTAAAATCACGATATTTGTCATTTGTGAGGGGGCGAAACGAAACAAAATGTCATCAGAAGGCTTTAGCAATCACCATTACAGTATAACTTTTGCGCATATTATGGATCGCAAATTATGTGAAGGACTTTAATGTTCCAAGCCAAGTATCATTAGCGATAAAATACTTGATTGCATATTTTCCAAAACTGCATTTTCCCTAAAACGTGCTTAACTCGTGCTTAACTTTCGCGTTGGTCTCAGCAAAAACACAAGCGTTAAAGGATTAATCGATGCTGTCAATCTCGCGTATCAAGCTTCTGGCAATGCCGACTAGAGATTTCCGTTAGTAAAATGGCACGTGGCCTGCCCAAGGTAATGAAGCTCATCGTTCTTCGAGCGTCTGCTCGCTCCGTTAATAACGGACCAATTTTGCGGCGCACCTGTTTACGTATCTCACGAGTCACATCCTACCAATATCACAAAGTACAATGTGGCATTGTTTCTCCTAGGCTTGACCGTCATCGTTTTATCATCACGGCAGCGTTACTATCGCAGTCGCCAGGTTGCTCAACCTTTTAACACTAAAGCTCGCGTTCGGAACTCGCGCCAGACGCATCCATCGTGGCCCTGAAAAAAAATCATGAGCGATGAAAAGCCCGCTCAATTGTCCGCTTTACCCCCCCCCCCCCCCCCCCCCCCCCCCCCCCCCCCCCC